ACTACTGTTCATTAGTGGCCTCCACTCTCTTCTCTTGTGACTGGGCAAGCTCCAAATGCTAACCCTTCATTTGCCAACGTGTCTACTTTCCCCTCTCACATAGATGTTCAGTCCTCCCTATTACCCCACTCGCCATTGAAGAACCAATGGATCCACCATTTCTCTGTTGGTCACTCACCATAACTCTAATAATTATCACCACAGACTCCTCCCCTCTTACACTCTTATCATTCTTCTGATTTCTCTCCTGCCATACGCAACCTCTTGCTTCATCTTATCTTCTCTTACACACCACACAACCTTTCCCTTCTATCCATCAGTTCCGAGCCTCCCTCCCTTTTGCATCTACCTCTGATGACCCTCTCTGCCAACTCTCACCACTATGTAGAAAGCTCGAAGGAATCCCAGCTGCTCTCCACGCCAAAAAAATTGCCTAATGGCACGGCGACGATGGTCGAGGTTGAATCAGAAGCTAAGGGAGGCCGGTGAAGCTGGGCGGAGTATATACGTTTGTGTGGGTTTGTGGGGGTGGGATTTTGCCGAGGCAACTCTCCTCTCTGGACCTTTGCGGGCCGCATAACAGTGAGAGATAGGAAGCTGAGATTCCGCCGCCAAGCTTTGAAGATGGGATTGAGCCGGCAAGTTGTAGAAAGAGGAGTAGTTTGCCAGAAACGATGCAGGGGAGGTAACTTAGGTTTCCGCTGGCAATGATACTAGGTTGCCAGCGCCCAGCAATATTGTGGGTGAGGATATTTGGATTTGGAGGTTGATTTCCATCGGGTAAGGGCGATGGCCTATGGTTTCAAAGGTCAGAGTGGATGAGATGAAAAAGAAGTAGGAAGTCTGCGTGTTGGATAGCATTTCCGAGGTGAGGGGTTGGAAGAAGAGAAATGGTTGAGTTTGGGTGTGAAAAGCATAGAATGAAAAGAAGACTTTGCCAAGCCAACTCTGTTCTCTGGATGCGGGGCGAAATTGCATAACCTCCTTTCATCATCCCGACCATCCCCAAATTGCAGAAACAACCTCGGCGGAATCCTGGCTTCACCCTTTTTCTCTTTCGTCTTCTTCCCCCTGTTTCTCGGTTAATCTTTCTTGAGAAGAAGAAGGAAGGAGAAGAAGAAGAAGAGAAAAAAACAAAAAAAACAGCGGCGGCGGCAAAGGAGAAGGAGAGTTCACTGGAAAAAATCCAGTCAGTTTCTTGCAGTTCTCCTTTGTTTTTTACGTTCCTCATTGATCTTTTCATTTAAGGATTTCAGCACACAATCTTAGTTTTTTCCTTTGTCTATAGCAGGTTAGAAGAGTGTGGAAGATTGCACGTCGGAATGAGGCCCTGCGTCAAAAGTTTGATTTATGTGTATGATTTCTGCGATTTTATTTTCTGCTTCAACGGTGCCGTACTGCCGTTGACGGCCTCATGAGTCAAAACAATCAAGGACTTCAAGACCTTTCGAGTTAGCATCTGCTTAGTCTTTTTTCTTTTCTTCCATTTGATTTCCGAGTTCCAGTCTCTCATGCCGGATCTCTCCTTCTATTTCGGTGGCTGTTTGTGTCAATTTTAGGTTTCATTTGGCCTTGATGCCCGAGGGCGCCTCTAATTCCACAGCTCAGCAGCAGATTCAAAAGAAGGAAGAAAGAATTTCCAAAGAATTGACTGAAACAAGAAAGTAAGAAGCTGCAATTGCACAGCCTGCGGTGTTTATATTAAAATTTTTGTTTCTTTGCCTTTAGTTTCTGTTGCCTATTGTGTTGGTTTGTTTTACTAATTTCAGTTTGTGTAAACAACTTCTGCTGAGCAATTTGAGGATGGGATGGTGGTGACGCAAGATGAAATAGGGATGCAAAGCTAGCATTTCAATAAGATTTGAAAGTTCTGGTTTTCTTTCATGGTAACCATATATGACATTTGGTGCTCTATCTTATGCTATCATAGATTCACAGAACCTCTGTGTGGTCAATTTATCTGCATATTAACAAATAAACTCAATTTATCTATAGGAGATTCATCGGTCAACTTAATCCTTCTGCTATGGTGGAGTTCTCGGTCCGGTTTCCATCATGTGCAAAGCATTTGAGGTGAGCTTTGTAAGAAATAGGTTGTATTTCATCTCTGATATGTCCCGCTAAATCTTTAGCTCCGAGTTAATCATGCTCTCTAGAGTTTTTTGGAATGTTGTTTGATCACGAGTTGTTTCCTGTTGTATCTTTACAAAAATGCAGATGTAGTGCTACTCGGGGAATAACGTTTACTTGATAATCTTGAGCTGCCAGACCTAGAGGTTTAAGAGGTACCGAGTAGTTAATATTTCTTTGTCATTACCTGTTTTGCTCTTGGTATGAATTGCTTCCATCTGCTATGTTTGCCATTGTGAATTCAATATGTTTCTAGCTGTCTGCACCAGGATTTAGTGCATGATTATCATTGTGTGTTCTACTCAAAGAATCACAATATGCAGATAACATGGATTTAGTCCTTAACATCATAATTTCACTAACCTCCTTTGATTCATGATGCCAAATAGTAAAGACCCTTTCCATTTCCCTCTCACTGGCTAGCTGTTTACCTTCATCTGCATGTCTCTCTGATTTCCATGTCATTTTCTCCAATTATTATCATTATTATATTAACCCAAATTAGTTTGTGGAAACAAAATTTAAGGAAATGAACTTGATTATTCTACTTCTCAACAGTAGTGCCCCTCCCTTTCGTCAACGATTATGGTCTTTTAAGCATATGAAATTGGTTCTTTCACGCACTCTAATCTCATAATTTTAATGATGAAGTGGTAAGCCGATAGAGTATCCTATTGTTTGATTGGTGAATGGTGATGGGCGCACAACTTGGCCTAACTGATTATGTAAGCTCTATTTTGGTTCTTTTAAATGATCATAAGTAAATCTATTACCATTATCGTCTAAAAATAATTATGTCAGCTCTATTGGAGAGTCAGGCTCAGAGGTTTCAGGATTTCCTTGCCGAATATTAAGCCATGAAATACCCCACCACAGGTTAAACTGTGAGTCCACCGGACGGAGAAAGTCTTGCACTTCTCATTCACTTTTTAGTGTTGTTTCAAGTTCAGAACGATGAAGTAGGGACATCCAATCATCCTAATGATTCACATTCAAGTACGTGACACTCAAATCATAAAACAGTACATTCAAGCTCTCATCAATTATCAATTATTCAATCTTATGGTGGCTCTGAGAATGTTGATATATCTCTTTGCCTTTTCTTTTCATGGTTATGCAGAGGGATAGGTGGATTGTGGTGATGGACTGGCAGTAGTAGTACAGTATCGTTGTTGAAATTCTGAAGATCTTCTAATGTTACTGTCTGGAGAGCAGTCTGCCCATGGGTTTCGGAGTAATTTCTTCTCTTTCAACCGATGATCTGAGGTGCTAATTCAATCTGCATCTCTTTGTGTGTAAAAAAAAAAACTCTCATTGTGACTTCTCAAATAAGATGCCTATTAGGAATCACTGCATTCATTTGGAATGTGTCCTTGCCTCAGGTTTATGATGTTCTTATGTTAATATGGTAGATATATTAAACAAGTTATAGATGATTTTGAGGCAAGAAAGGCTTCAGTTTTCATCTGCTGAACCATTCCCGACAAAATGAACATACGAATGGAAGTTGCAGCTTGCCTGATCCTTTGCATGTGAAGTGGGTTTCCCACAATCCATACATGGCTCATTAATCATTAGCTGAACTATGATAGTATTTTGCTGTGCAGGTAGTGTTATTAACATGTGAAAGGAAAGAGTTTGATTGCACTGCCTGAAAGATTGTCGCATGATTTAGATGTATGAATCAATAGTTCATGTGTCACTAGGGATTGCATATTCATGGTGTCATTTAATGGTCTCCCCTCTTTCCTTCCTCGCAGACAACCTTTGATGCTGGTATTTGGTTTATTCGTCATATTGCGTTCTATTTTAGCTTTATTGTTTGTGCCTTGATGATGGGTATAAGATGTATTTACCGGTACAGCATTTAATGGTCTCCCTCTGTTATATAATGTAGAATACTTTTGTTTTTTGGACAGAGTAGATTCTGTGACAGCAACAACTGATACTGTCAAAAAGCTTCTATTTTGTCTCTTCATACCGCAAATTCTCACTAACACCGTAAATCATACCTCGCAGGTTCCTTACTGGTATGTTATCACTCATCAGGTATCACCATGACTCCATGAGGCGTTTCACATATATATCAAGCATTTTGAAGACCATTCCAGATAGACTTGAGTGACCCAACAAGCTTTTCTCGACTAAGTATTATTGCTAGCAGCCATGAGATTGTTTTTCCTTCGCCTATTTCAACTTTCTCTTAGGTTGCATTATGAGATACAAGTCTCCTATCGATATGGACACGAGACAAGCGAGATGATCTTTGACCATGACGCAACACTAACGTCGGTATGTGTGGCACCGGAAGACTTGGCAAACTTTCTCTACCACCCACCTCTATTTCCAATAGGCAGCCTAAAACTGTTCAGCATTTTTGTGTTATGTATTCTCGGTCAATTGGATTTAGCATCAGGATTATGCAGTAATTCTATCTTTTGGACATTATTTTCTTCTTGCGCGAAGCGTAGCGAGCGGGTACGTTCTAGTTGAACTAATTTAGAACATTTTAATTACTTTCACTTGTTCATGAGGACTGAGGAGGGAGACCAAAGTCCAAACACGCAGAGAAAATTACTTTTCCCTCCAAAATAATATTAAGAAAAGTATTTATTCATAATCATAAATAATAATAATAAATTTCTTTCCTATTCGTAAAAGGTTTCATTTATTCCACGGAAAAACCGAAAAAAGAATTCCTTTACCTATGCGTAAACCCTAAAAATCCTAGTGATTCGGCTCTGTTCCTATAAATAAGCAGCTCCAGGAGCGCAGATTCTCACATCTTCATCAAGCTCTCGCTTTCCAATCGCTCGCGGCGCGGAGAAGATATTCACAGAAGTTAACTAATAGATCCAATTGCCGTAACAATGTCGACAGAGGAGAAGAAGTTGATCACCCTGAAGAGCAGCGACGGCGAGTCCTTCGAGGTGGAGGAGGCGGTGGCGATGCAGTCGCAGACGATCAAGCACATGATCGAGGACGGCTGCGCCGGCGACGGCATCCCGATCCCCAACGTCACCGGCGCGATTCTGGCCAAGGTGCTCGAGTTCTGCAAGAAGCACCAGCACCACGCTCCCGATCGTCAATCCGACGCCGACGAATTGAAGAAGTGGGACACGAATTTCGCCAACGTGAGTCCGGACACCCTGTACCACCTGCTTCTGGCCGCGAACTACCTGAACATCAAGGATCTGCTCGATTTGAGCTGCCAGACCGTGGCCGACATTATCAAGGGGAAGAAGCCGGAGGAGATAAGGCAGTACTTCAACATCAAGAACGATTTTACCAAGGAGGAGGAAGAAGAGATTCGCAGGGAGAATCAATGGGCGTTCGAGTGAAATTCAGTTCGACGAAATATTATAGGCACGGTAGTAGTGAATCAGTTTGGTAATTGAATTTTGATGTTATTATTAGGGTTTATGTGTATGGATTCAGAGGAATGGGGGCAACGTCATTTATTCTCGTTTCAATGTCAATGTTTAATGTTATCATCGTAAGTGAATGAACATCAGTATACTAGATTTTTGTCCAAATTTGAAAGGCTTGCAACGTCGGTGAGTAGCAACCCATTGTGTGAACAAAGATCATCGTTGACGAGGAATGCAAGGCCAGGACATTGCAATTTTGGGCATTGATAAAACACCCTCAAACAGGAATCTGAAATGCAATTTTATCAAACTTGCTTCAATAAAATTAGGGTACACTTTATCAATCGTATTGTCGCGCTTGTTTCAGGAATTCAGATGGGAATATAATCTTGCTACTAGACTTCCCTAACTATCATATAGAGGTTGGACTTCATTGAGTTGATGGCGCACTTCTCTTTGATAAGCCTCATCCGTGTTAAATACTAAGAAATAGACACATATTCTTGGTAAACCAACTTAAGAAACTCATGGCGCACAAGCTTGTAAGTCGAAGCAGGTGAGCTTCGTGCTGAAATTCCACGTAACTAACAACATCGTCATACTCCAAGAAGTTGCCCATTCTCTATCACTTAAAAATGGAGTGATAGACTAAAGGTAAGATAGTCTAATAGTAAGATGTCGCGACAATGAAGATTTGGGAATTGCATATCTCAAGTTCGATTCAAGCGAGGCCCATTGGTGTTCCCAAAGGTATGAGGTTGTTGGGAGCGAAGTTCTGTTGACGTTGAATTGATTATAGGTGACTCCTAAATTTTGATTGTGAACTTCTGTCACAAAATGGCACGTGAGACCGAGGTTCTGGATAATAATAAAAAACTGGAGTGATATGCTATATGATCCCAATTGATTTTGCCAAGACATACTACAGAATAAGCTGAAAATTCTTAGAAGACACCTTCATCAAAACTGAACTTACTCCCTACAGATTTCGTTGCCTTAATTTTGGCATGTGTCACTACCATCGAATTCCGGGTGTCATGGAAGTTAATTAGACATGGAGATCTTCAAATCAATCAGAAATGAAATGATCGTATGCTATCAGCCCCACCAGCACTGGTTATTTGGTCTGGGCTATTTGATTTTATCCGAAACCGAACTGTATAACCCGGATTGGGACTGAACCGGGACAGGATAACAAACAATTCAATCCAATTTTCGGGTTTAGATTTGAGGTAAAAAACCGTTTGGGACCGGATCAAAACCAGATAAGAAAGACCAACACCCAAAATTTAACCATCTCCTCACTCTTTGAGTTCTCAGGCCACTCAAATCTCCACAAGTTCAATCTAAAATCAAGACCGAATTGGGACCAGACCGGACCGAATAAGACCGGGTCAAGACCGGACCGAATAAGGCCGGACTGTATCCAATCCAATTTTTGGTCCTTATATTCCCGAAAAACCGACGGGTCAATTTAATCGAAACGGACCGTATAGCCACCCCTAACCTGCATGACTCTAGTTCAAGTTCAGGAGGCTATTGTAATTTTCTAGTTTTAGTTCACTCTCGATCCTAGTTTCACCAATGAACCTCGATCGGGAAATGTCTTGGAGTTTTGATCCACACCAAGGATACATGCAAGTTCACCATTGAGAAAATGGAGTGAAAGCAATCGAGACAGGAAGCTAAGAAACTTACTTGTCCTAATTACCCGGGGATGATTTATGAGTGCGTGTCTTGGAAGGGAAGTATTTCAAACAAGAGGAAGAGGGTGGAGTGATAGTAAAATCAAGAGGATGGAAAGGAATTACGATAGGTTGACAAATCATAAATTAAGGGATCACTCTTGAAATCAGGAGCGGCAAAACATTGGCCTTCTAGACAGAATCATAGCTATATAACATGACAATTTTGATCGACAACATAACTAAAAAAAGAGATTACATTTGGAAAAAATAGACCACCTATGATTTTGATACTTACTCATATTAGTTGTACTTGTAAGAAGAAGTAATGTGGTACAAATCGGGAATGCTTAAGGAAGGGAAAGAATAAGGCAAGGAAAAAAAAGTTTTAAATTTCAATTGAAAGCTTTACTCGCTCTCACACAGACAGCTTTCAAGCAGTAAATAATAATTGGCAAAATACACTTGCATAGCCAAAACTATCACCTTTGTGCCACTTATAGCCACATTTGGCGAAATACCACTAATAGCCACTTTTGAAAGATGTTGCGTGCCAAATATAGCCATTTCCGTTAGAAACTATAACGGTGTTAATAACACCGTCAACTTATTTGACGGTCGGCTGACGAGACGCCAATTCAGCGGACACGTCAGCGACAACTAAGCCAATAGTGACAAGTCAGATATTTAAATTATTTATTATTTACGCAAAATAAACAAGAAAAAAAATTACACCCTCCCTTCTCCAGTCCCATCCCATCCCATATCTTCGATTTCTCCAATTCTCCGCCAATTTTGATTTCCCGACGTTGGTGCCGATTGCGAACTGCTCTGGCTAACAGCAAGCGCCGGTGAACAAAGCTCAGCCTCCGCTTTAATAGTCGCTCAATCCCACCTTAAATCGCGCTCAATCCCTAAAACATCCGAGTCTTCTTCTCACAAGCCCAGAAAGTCGTCATCTATTGGCGGTTGCTTCCTCTGCTGTCTTTCAGTTTCTTTCACATTTTGGTCGACAGACTTCGATTTCTTTGCAGAGCCTTCTGAATTCTCGTGGGAAAAAGATCGTAACTTCTGAATCTTTTTGAACTCGATTCCACCATAGTCAACTGTGCTTCGATTCTTCAACAAAGGGTTCGTTCAGGTAAAGGAGAAGAAGAGGAGATGGTAAGCGCCTGACCTAATCTTAATTTTGCCCACTCACCATGAATGGATTCGAATTCAATCTCAATTCTTGTTTGCCCACTCACCATGAATGAATCTTTTGCCGCTCTTCCTCATCCCAATCGTTAATCTGCTGCCGCAGCTCTTCGATTTGATCATGGTAAGGGTTTTCACATGACTCGAACCGAATCTTCTTTTTCTTGTTATGGATTGGATAGAGGAGTCGCCAGAGTTGCTTGTTTGTTGAAACAGGTGGAGATGTGGGTGGTAGCGGAGGAGTCCGACGCCGCCGTCGGCGGCGTACGAAGGCTGTGGCGGAGGAGGCGGCAGCGGAGGAGACGGAGGTGGGTAGAAGAATTGGTTGTGGACGGGAGGTGGAAGGACGGCGAGGTGATGGTGAGAAGTAGAAGATAAGGGGAAGTCGAATGGATGAGAAGTAGAGGGGAAGTTTCTAGATCGGATAAACGTTGTTGTAGATTTCGAAGAAGATGAAGATAAGGGAAGGAAGGGTGAGGGCTTTTTAATTTTTGGTCCATTATTTTTTTTTTAATTAATCATTATCCACGTAGATAATTACAAAGGATATTGGAAATAAGAGCTCGCCACATCACCATTTCCGTTTGTCCAGTCAGACTTAACGGTAACAGCGTTAAAGAATCGGACGGAAGTGGCTATTAGTGGTATTTCGCCAAATGTGGCTATAAGTGGCACAAAGGTGAAAGTTTTGGCTATGCAAGGGTATTTTGCCATAATAATTTAATACGAAAAATAAGTTATTTATAACATGGAGACATTTACAAAACATTTAATTACTATGACGGGGATAACGAATTGAACTAATCCACAGGAGGAGAAGAAGAAAAAAGAATTTTTCCTCTCTCCAAAATAATTAAACAAAAAAAGTATTTGTTCATAAATGAAAAACTCACATTTCTCCTATTCGTTAAAGAATTCCTTTTCCTGTGCGTAAAAAAGCCCAGCGCTTCTCTGAAAGTCGTTCATCCCCTTTTCCGTTACGGACTTTGCGAAAATCGAGCCAATTCGGTTCTCTTCCTATAAATAAGCAGTTCCAGGCGTACAGATTCTCACACATCTTCCATCACTCAATCAATCAATCAATCAATCAGCAGCTCTCGCTCTCAAATTCAGAGATCCAATTACCCGTAACAACAATGTCGTCGACAGCGGAGAAGAAGCTGATCACCCTGAAGAGCAGCGACGGCGGGACGTTTCAGGTGGAAGAGGCGGTGGCGATGCAGTCGCAGACAATCAAGCACATGATCGAGGACGACTGCGCCGGCGACGGCATCCCGATCCCCAACGTCACCGGCGTGATTCTGGCCAAGGTGCTCGAGTTCTGCCGGAAGCACCAGGAGCACGCTCCCGGTCACCAATCCGACGCCGAGGAATTGAAGAAGTGGGACGCGGAATTCGCCAAGGTGGGCCAGGACACGCTCTACGACCTGCTCATGGCGGCGAATTACCTGAACATCAAGGATCTGCTGGATTTGATCTGCCAGACCGTCGCCGACATCATCAAGGGGAAGAAGCCGGAGGAGATAAGGAGCTACTTCAAAATCAAGAACGATTTCACCAAGGAGGAGGAAGAGGAGATTCGCAGGGAGAATCAATGGGCGTTTGAGTGAAATTCTGTGTTCAATTTTGATGGTTGGTAATGAATTGTTTATGGATTCAGATGTGAGAGATTGGTTTGTGGCTTGTCTGCAGCTTATTGCAGCCAACGTTTTTTTTTTTTTTTTGTTCTAGTGTGAATTATATTATAAGAAGGGGGATTAGTGTTTTAGAGCTGCAACAATGAATCCAAATTGAAAGGGACATTGCATAAGATTGGTCACCATAAACAAAAATCTATCTCTATGGCAATTCGAGTTCTTCATAACCAGGTATAGTTTAGGATAGACGTAGTAATTGGAGAGTGTTCAAGAAAGTACGAAAAGGTTAACCAGGTATAGTTTAGGATAGACGTAGTAATTGCAGAGTGTTCAGGAAAGTACGAGAAGGTTGTTTTGGAGAGAAGATTTGTCGCAACTTAGTGCGAGAGAATGGCACAAGATCTATAATCATCATTCTCACAACAGCTCGATATTCGGACCCAATTAATTTATGTTAGACCTAGCAACTGCATAGTGTTCAGGAAAGTGGGTTGTCTTGTTGGAAAGATTGGTATCAATGGGGCGCTACTGTATCTTAGAAGTTACAAGTTACAACCCTCAGAAGCCAATTTTATAGGCTCTGTCGTTGTTAGTGGACCAAGCGGGTCAGGCCATGCATTACAAAATAGTGGCGTATTCAGTGCACTCACTTTTTTGGGTGCATTCGTCTCATAATCGTTATTCTAAAGAAATGATCCATGTAAAAATGATGGTAATCGTCACTTATAGCTAAGCGAACAACACAACGTGAGTAATGTGGCGATTTATGCATGGATCACGGATGTTATGAGGTCAAGCCCCATGAGCAGAGAATCCAACTGAGAATGCTAGGAATTGAAGTTTGTGGTCGTCAGCTTCACAAGCAGCTGGGCAGCGGGATTGAAAGTGATAATGGTGTCTTCATTCTTGGCTTATTGATTGGCATCTGAGATTGTTGAATCAGACATAGTTAGCGATGAGAAAGGAGATCTCGGAAACAGAGAGCGATGCTAAATGGCTTGGAGCTTCAGCCGAGGAATAGAAAGCGTAGAGTATTGGATCTAGCTGAACATTGCTAGCTCTGATACCATGATAAAGTTTTAGAAATACTATCATTTTGGAAAATCAAACTAGATTATATTAACAGAGTGTTGGGATTAATATACATGTACAGGTGATTGAATAAGCTTCCCACGTTCCTTAGAGATAGGAATAGAACCAGGGGCGGAGCCAGGATTTGATCGTCGGGGGGGCCGAAGTTTAGAAAGTGTAATATGTAGAAGAAAATATATCATAAAATATAATTAATATTTGTATTTATTTATAATTTATTTGTAATATTTGAGATAAAGAAAATGCCAAAACTATTATTAGGAATATAAATTTAAAATTTGAAGAATATAATTAAGCTACTTCAAAATTACATGACTTGTAAAACAAATTATGAAAGTTAAATATGCTTGATGGTAAAACTAAATTAACAAGGTTAAAAAAATTAATATGGTCTTTGTCACATTCAATTAAGAAGGTTAAAGACAATTAAATATGATTTTTATCACAGTCAGTTAAGAAGGTGCCAAAACTATTATTAGAAATATAAATTTAAAATTTGAAGAATATAATTAAGCTACTTCAAAATTACATGACTTGTAAAACAAATTATGAAAGTTAAATATGCTTCATGGTAAAACTAAATTAACAAGGTTAAAAAAATTAATATGGTCTTTGTCACGTTCAATTAAGAAGGTTAAAGACAATTAAAATTTGTATTTATTTATAATTTATTTGTAATATTTGAGATAAAGAAAATGCCAAAACTATTATTAGAAATATAAATTTAAAATTTGAAGAATATAATTAAGCTACTTCAAAATTACATGACTTGTAAAACAAATTATGAAAGTTAAATATGCTTCATGGTAAAACTAAATTAACGAGGTTAAAAAAATTAATATGGTCTTAAGAAGGTTAAAGACAATTAAATATGATTTTTATCACAGTCAGTTAAGAAGGTTAAAAAATCAGTAGCAATTTGCTGCCAACAGGTTTCGAACCAGTACCATGAATGACAACAATCAATTTCTGCTCCGCTGGACTACACACAAATCTTATGAAGTTACGATTCATTATTGCACACAGTTTGTATTTATACTAATCTTCATTTTATACGTAATTCTTCAAACCTCGATAGATTTTTGTACGTGATTTCAAAAATCTCGAGGGGTCGGGGCCCCCCTGAAATACCACCTAGCTCCGACCCTGATTACAGAACAGAGGTGGAAAGACTTAGTGGAGAAGAGAAAATAATAAAAGAAATAAAGTGATAACATAATTATGGAATAATAATTCTGTTAATTAATGATTATGTTTAATATCCTTCATCTCGCTTCTGAAACTTTTTACCGCCGCCCACCGAGAAACAAAGAAATTCCCCCGACGTCCAAAATGAGATGGAGCTAAAATTGGGATGGGCCAGGCATAGAAGATAACCATTCTCTGAAACGAAAGGAGCGAGGATAGGAGTGAAGGAAACATGGGAGTTTTGATCAGTCACTGCTGACAGAGTTCCCAGCTTTGGTTACAAAAGAAATTAACGACCTCCTATTGGCTTAGATTACAAAGGAGGAAGTTCGCAAAGCTGTTTTCCAACTCGGGGCAAATAAGGCCCCGGGCCCTGATGGTTTCCCCGGCCACTTTTTTAGGACCTACTGGTCCTCCCTGGGGGATACCTTGTGCAAAGAGGTCATAGACTTTTTTAGGACAGGAATCATTACAGAGGGCTGGAATGACACTTTTATCACTCTGATTCCCAAGGTTGATCAACCTGAGATGGTTGGCCAATTCAGACCAATTAGCTGCTGCAATTTCCGGTACAAAGTTATCACGAAGATTATGACCATTAGATTGCAACCATGGTTGCCGAATCTAGTAAACGAGCTTCAATCTGCTTTCACAGGGGGGAGACAAATCCAAGACAATATTATCATTGTCCATGAAGTCCTTAACCAGTTCAAGAAGAATAAAACAAAAAAAAAAAACAAAGAAATGATGATGAAGCTTGACATGAGGAAGGCATACGATCTGGTTGAATGGGATTTCCTCATTTACCTCCTCAAAGCCTATGGCTTCAGTGATACCTGGTGCGAATGGGTTCGGGCATGTATCTCAACAGTGAAGTTCAGGCTTTTGTTCAATGGAGCCCCTTCGACCGAGTTCATCCCCTCGCGAGGCATCCGCCCGGGAGACCCGCTGTCCCCCCTCCTTATCATCTTGATGTCAAATGCACTATCGTTTTTGATTGAAAAGGCTACTCAAAGACAGGTCATCAAGGATATTAAGCTGAACAGAGATTTCCCTGTTCTTACTCACTGCCTCTTCACGGATGACACCGTTATCTTTGGTAAAGCGTCAGTAAGAGAAGCTGAACATATTTTAAGCATTCTTAATGACTATGGATCTATTACAGGGCAGGAGGTCAACAGGAATAAGTCCTCCCTGTTCTTCAGCGCCAATGTCCCCTCTGATGAACAGGAACTCATCATCCAAAGCACTGGCTTTGTGGCGGACCACTGCCACTCCAAGTATCTTGGAGTACCCACTGAATGGGGTCGTTCCAAGAAGGAAACTTTCCACTTCCTCCTGCAGCGAATGGAAGCCAGAGGGGAGTCGTGGAAGAGTCTCCTTCTTTCCCCGGGTGGCAAAGAGGTGCTCCTCAAGGCGGTGTTCCAGGCGGTACCATCCTTCATTATGTGCATTTTCCTTCTCCCACGCTCAACAGCGAAGAGGATGGACTCCATGCTTAAGAATTTCTTCTGGAGCGGATCAATGTCAAAGAAAACCATCCACTGGAGAGCAGGCCACGTGCTGTATGCCCCAAAGGAGGAAGGAGGACTCGGATTCCGCCCCTTCCACACAGTCAATCTTGCTTTACTGACAAAGCAGGCATGGAGGGCTATCACCAACTCTGATTCCCTGTGGGTGAGGTTCTTGAAGAGCATCTATTTTCCCAAGTCTAACTTCTTAACCGCAAAATTAGGTGGAAAGGCTTCATGGATCTGGTCGAGCCTCTGGGAGGCAAAGAAATGGATGAAACAGGGCATCATTAGGGTGATTGGTAATGGTAAATCAACAAGGATGTTCCAAGATCCGTGGAGATTTGACCGTCCGGGCCCTTTGCTTGAGTTTGATTGGCCTGATGAGTCTACTGTGGATCAGTGGATTGATGGGATCAATAGAGCCTGGAGATTTGACCTTCTTGCAGGGTATCTTAGCCCTATGGACCTCAATCAGGTGGCTGCCACCCCCATTGGCCCTGAATCACTAGAGGACATTTGGGCTTGGAGATTCACGGACAGTGGCAACTTCACTGTGAAATCAGCCTACCACGTTTTCCACAACTTGATCCGACGGGAGCAGGCCAACCAATCATCAGACATATCTAGCAAAGAAAGATGGAAATGGCTATGGAGCCTTTCCCTGCCTCCCAAACTGAAGTTCTTTGTGTGGAAATGCACTCGAGGGGCCCTGGCAACGAAGGAAAATCTCTTCTCTCGAAGCTTTTCTGTGACCAAGGCTTGTCCCATTTGTGCGGAAGCTACAGAATCGATCCATCACACCCTTTTCGAGTGCCCCCACGCGGCATCTGGATGGTTCCAGGACTGGCCTTCGCTGGTCGTGCCCCCCTTATCTACCACTATCCTTGATTGGCTCTTCTCACTTCAGGACAGGTACTCCATTGCCCTCGTCCAAAAGGTTATCTTCTTGCTGTGGCAGACGTGGAAGACGAGAAACGAGTTCATTTTCAGGGGTAAGATCCCTTGTCCCCCCTCCACCAGTTCTAAGGCTGTGCTTGAGTCGCAACAATGGGACGCGTGCCCTGCCAGAACACCAGATCCTCCCCACCCATTCAGTTAGCCCCACCCCCGGATCATCCTACTCCACCGCCAAGTATTCATGATTTTGAATTACACTGTGATGGTTCTTTCTTTGAAGCA